TCATCTTTTGTTTTTTCCACTTTGCACAGATCATTTGCTGAGTTCCCCAGAAAGGATTCCTGTACAAATTTCTCCCCAGTTTCCTGATCAATGAATAATAATACAAAAAAACCTAACTTATCTTTTCTGTAACATCCATGCCTCCTCTGAGCACTCATGTTGTGTACTTTGGTCATCAACTGGCTCTATAGACTTTCTAGCAAACTTTTGCTCCTGGTTGATGTGTAAGAAGAATTATTTAGTAGTTTGGTTGCTTTGTTTAGTTGTTTCCCAAATTCTTTTTGGCCTATCTAGTAATGTTTTTATATTTTTCAAAGTTCATGTTCCTTTCTGGTACCTTCTTTTGAATGCAGCATAGTTTTTGCAATGGTTCAGACTGTCTCTTTGCTTCCAGTGTGGGATCCTTCAGCTTTCTCCTAGCCACAAGTAAGGATTTAATTCTTTTAGCTCCCTCACCTAATTTGTTTTCAACAAGCCACACATTGTTCCATTACTGGACTTTAGCATGACTGCAGAGGGTTCTTCGGTCTTTGCTGCTCTTTTAGAGATGCTGTTTTTATAAAGTGGGAATTCCAGTGTGAGGTTCTGAACTAGATCTTGTGCTTGTGCTTCATCTTGAGGGCTCATTCTGTGAATAATACCACCTATGAATGGCATCTGCTTCATATGGTACCGTGCCAAGATGCTGTAGTGTGAGTGGTAGTGTCCTGGCTGGTGGGTTGACATGTAGATACAATCCCATGTTCTTCCCAACAGGGCTTTGAATGTCAGTCTACACAGATTAGTGCTTCTCTTTGAAATGGCTGGTTTGCTGTGTTTGGAAACTATTTAGCCTCTCTACTCTCTAGTCTTTGGACTAATTTCATCACCCCTTTCCACTTACACTCTCTCCTAACTCCTTCAAACCCCATGTAATGAGGGTTCATCAGCTCATCAAGGAGTGCACATCAGGAGAAACAACCAGAGGCAGTGGGTCTTTTTTTGCACCTTTTCCAACATGGAAGGGACAAAACTGATCTATTGAATAGATGGGTCCTTGATTTCAATGTATGTTACAGGTATTTAAATTGCACTTTCATAATAAATTAATGCTACTCAACTCATACAGAAATTTACTGTCATTCTTCTAAACTAATGGTGGTACCTTGTACAAAAACATAAGGAAGTTCACTGTGTTTTTCTTTAGATGTGTGACTGAAGATTAGTGTTTTGAAGTAAAATATAAAAATCCTGGGGCTTTCTGCAGTTTCTAGAATTCTTTGAACTAATACCTTTAGAATAAATGAAAAATGGCCTCTGCCCTGTCAATGTGAACTATAAAACACCAGAAGGATAGTATTACTTTATTTCTCCATAAGATGGTCTCTCAAGGAGGAGAATGGGCAGAGGAGCATTTAACTGGGAGAAGACTGTGCAACTCTGTAAATGAAGTTTAAGCCCTGGGTTTGCCAAACAAAAACTTTTACTTGGAACATACTCAGTTTTGTTCAGTGATCCATTCCTAGCATTAGATAATTAAGTCAATATTTAGGCATCTAAATAAGTGTATCCTGGCATTTAGAAGTACCAGAATTTCCCACCCTAAGTAGAGGATTGAAAAACATTTCAGTTACTCTGCATCTTTTACATAGTTATCTGCAGAAGGATTTAGCTATCTAATGCTAGATAACAAGATCAAACATTTTGGGAAGAAATAAAAATTAAAATATGTTAAATTAACACAAAAAAAAAATTAATGTTGTAAAATATTCAAACTCAACTGTGAGAATCCCCAGAGTTTTTACTACACATTTTTAGTACACATTAATCTGCTTAGTAATTCCTTCTTTTGTTATAATAAGCATTAGGGCAGGACTCTTGCTGGGAAGTAATGTTACAATGGAAGATTAATTAAGAAACATGAGAAACATTTCCAGTTAGTTCTAATAAATTATTCGGAAACATTTTTTCTGCCTTTCTTTCTCTCTGTCTCCAGTGACCAGATCTTACAAAAGAAGTGTCAGTTCACTCAAGGGAAAGACTGCCCTGCTTAGGGAACGAAGGGTATTCAAATCTTCAGTGTACATTAATGCTGCAGTCTCTTTCACTTCATGCTGTTTCAGTTATCTAACCCAGCTGCTTCCTCTCTGGGTCTTGGGACATGGAAAAGGAGCCTAAATTAGATGCTTCAAGTCACCTGTGAGAAGACACCCTGCCACCCCACTCTGCCTCTCTATTTTATGATATAGAAGTTATGTGAGGACTTACTCAAAGCTGGATGCCGAAAGTTGCACAACATTTGTACTTTTCAACACCAGCCCTCATGTGCAGTAATGGGGCCGTAAATCAGATAGATACACACCGCTTTGCTATGTCACATCTAGAGCTGACCTAATAGTGAAGAAGCATGTCGGAGGGGAAAACTCATCTGCTGAAGGACCCCAGCTGCAGCAGTTATTTTAGCAACAGCTGGAAAGTTGTTCTGAAGAAGGTTCAGTACAACACCTACTTAACAAAGGAATATGAGATGTAGTTATTTTGAAGAGTGACTGTTGAAAAGATAAAAAATGGAAACCTCCAAGTCTTTTTCTTTAAACTGCAGTTTCTGACACACAGAGGAAGTCTCCTTGTTCTAGACTTGTTTCACTTCCTAGAGAAGAAAATAAGCACCATAAAACTAATTTCCTTGACCTTTTACAAATAGTTAATCATGTCCTGCAATTCTTTGAAAGTCTGACATCACTCAGAAATTCAAATAAATTATTTCAAAGTTTTCAAATATTGACACTCAAGGTGCAATATTTTAGACACTGCAAATACAGAGTCATATGCATCTCAGGTCTTATTTCACTGTCTGCTTTGCCTTCATTCTTTATTTGATGACTGTTTGAAAGGTGTTTTAGCTTTATCTGCAGAAAACAATTTGAGGAGGAGAAAATATCTTATGTTGAAAAATAAGTAATTGAAGCTGCCTCGTCACTTTTCCTGGATTCTGCAAACTACTGCTAACTACCAGATTCAATAAATAAAGCATAGAGAAAAGTGCAGTCTTTTCCTTTAAATCCAGATAATGCTGTGGAAGATTAAGGTGGTACAGAAAATATAGTATATTAGAAAAACCAGAATTTTATTATCTCAGGACTGAAACTGCCACTTAGACACAGTATTAACAAGTTTAACATTTACACTGATGGAAATGCAAACAAAACAAAAAGGATTCTTTCAAGTGATTAAATGAGTTAAATAATCTTTCAGTCTGTCATCTGTTGTATTAGCTGTAGAGGCATGCACACTTAAAATAGAGATATATTTTACTATAAATATTTTAATCTAGTGTTTACAAGAAACAATTATGCATACTAATCAGAAATACTGGGGATATCTCAATGGTAAAACATTCTGTACAATAATTTTATTCAGTTTAATTGATGATCTTTTCAAGAAGCAGATCTCACTTTTATCGTCTTTCAGATGTGGATTATATAAACACCTTAGCAAAATTAAAAGTATTAGGAAGAAAAGAACTTGGGTCATGTTTAATATTAGGCTCCTAATATCTGCTCTTGAGCACTCTCCATATGGTTGTAGAAATGACAGTAAAATACTTAGAAAACTGAAAAATGTTAGGCTAAAGATAACTCAGTAAAGACACAGGAAAAGATTAATATAGAATTTTAATTATTGTTTTGTGAATGGGTGCCTACACTAGCTGCCTTGGTGAGACCGATCTGGAATACTGTGTCCAGTTCTGGGCCCCTCAGTTCAAGAAGGACAGGGAACTGCTTGAAAGAGTCCAGAGCAGAGCCACAGAGATGATGAAGTAGAACATCTCCCTTATGAGGAAAGGCTGAGGGAGCTGGGTCTCTTTAGCTTGGAGGAGACTGAGGGGTGACCTCATCAATGTTTACAAATATGTAAAGGGTGAGTGTCAGGAGGACAGAGCCAGGCTTTTTCAGTGATGTCCAGTGATAGGACAAGGGGCAATGGGCGCAAACTGGAACATAGGAGGTTCCATGTGAATATCAGGAAGAACTTCTTTACTGTGAGAGTGATAGAGCACTGGAACAGGCTGCCCAGAGAGGTTGTGGAGTCTCCTTCGCTGGAGACATTCAAAACCCACCTGGACACATTCCTGTGTGATGTGCTGTGGGTAATCCTGCTCTGGCAGGGGGGTTGGACTGGATGATCTTTTGAGGTCTCTTCCAACCCCTAGGATTCTGTGATTCTGTGATAGCAGTGAGTCACAGGGAGGGGAGCAAGGGGATCTGTGGGTGCTGTGATGATTCCCCAGGAGCAGCCACAGGTCTGCATCCCTCCTCAAGGGTTTGTCACTGTTTACACACAAAAGCTCACAGGACAGTGTCAAGGGCATCAAGGCCTACCAGTAGGAAATGCTTGCTGATTCCCCTCTTCCCTCTAAAATACCTGAGGAAGAGCAGGATGGGAAAGAACGTGCTTCTTTCTTGCCCTAAGTACTATAGTGATTGAGCAGTGACACGCGGGGCCTGAAGGACAAAACATCAACAGCTACATAACCCGCTTCAATAGCTGTGAATTGGATTCACTTGGGACAGCAAGAGGCTTGTGATACCCTTGCAAGAGAGCAACCCCTCCCTCATCTCTGCCAGCACCGCAGACTGGTGCAAGGAGAGCAGCTGCCCCTGTGCAAGGAGAGCAGCTGCCCCTGTGCAGCCCTGGTGCAAGGAGAGCAGCTGCCCCTGTGCAGCCCCTGTGCAAGGAGAGCAGCTGCCCCTGTGCAAAGAGAGCAGCTGCCCCTGTGCAAGGAGAGCAGCTGCCATTGTGCAGCCTGGTGCGAGGAGAGCAGCTGCCTCTGTGCAAGGAGAGCAGCTGCCCCTGTGCAAGGAGAGCAGCTGCCACCCCGCCGGGAGGAGGAGAAGGCCCTGCAGGAGGGCCCTGTGGCCCTGCCGGGGGTGACAAACCATCCCGCTGGTGGTTGCTGCTGCCCCCTCCGTGCCCAGCACCACACACAGCGGCCTTCCCGCCTTCCTCAGCCGGAGAAAATGAATTGGGTTGGCGGCAGTCGGTGAGTGAAGCTCTTCAGAGGCTGCCTGAAATAGGTCCCTGTTGACAGCCCCTGTGTCATCTCACAGCCACGGCGTGTGTGACAGCCCTGGTGTCCCTCACACACCAGCAGTGCAGGGTGGGTGTGACAGCCCTGGTGTCCTCTCACACACTAGCAGGCCAGGATGGGTGTGACAGCCCTGGTGTCCCCTCACAGACCAGCAGGCCACAGTGGGTGTGACAGCCCTGGTGTCCCTCACAGACCAGCAGGCCACAGTGGGTGTGACAGCCCTGGTGTCCCTTTCTGAACCAGACTGTGTGAGGAGTCACAGGTGCCTCCCAGACTAGGCAGGTGGGTCACATTTGGGCCTAATATCTCTCCACAGACTGGGGCTGGATGAAGCTCTCCTGCCTCATGCCCTCACAAATGGCAGTGCTTACCAGTTGGGGAAAAAAAATGGTAGTTCTTGAGATGCACTGAAATAGTAAAATTATCACCCACTGAGTTGTAATGTTAAAAAAGTTAATACTCAGTTTCTTCAGGAGCTGTGCCATCTCTCTGTCTACTAGAAGTTTAAACCCCACAGATTTTGTCAGCCATTTGAAAGTAATTTTGCCAAACAGCTTTATAATCGTCCTGACTCTAGGGAGAATCAAACTAAAATAATGCCTTACCCATCTGGAATGCTTCTCAGCAAAGTGAGATTTCTGAAAGCTGCCTGTCTGAAACAGGGTGAAGGGAGAGTTTCAGTTGCTGGGGGGGTGGGGAAGGAAAAAAAAGCAGCATGTAGGAGCATTGCACTTAATTCACCCTGCTACTTTCTGCCACTGTTGATTATCTGTCAGGATTTCCATGGTGAGTCTGGGATTTGCATTTCTGGTGTTAGAAAAACTATCCATTACTGTGGCTTCTACCTACTGCAAGGGTAAATTTTATATATT